TCAATTACTACAATTTATTCGAAAACATTGATAGCAAACAGTTTTTTAGTTCAACGAAATTCATAAAATATTATTATTTATAGAAAAATACAAATATATAAGTTTCCTAATTTCCGTATATATACAGAAGTATAAGTTTCAGTCAAAAGGAAAAAGTTAATACCTAAAAAAATCAGTTGACACTTGTTATATTTCTTTTCGTTATAGTTATTGGCCATATGGTCCTTACGAATCCGCTTTGCAGAGAACTTTCAAATGTTTAAATTTAAGTGAATGTAAAAGTAATTTTGTATACGAGGTGTGTTCAAAAAATCGAACAAAAATTTTACTATGGAAATTGCGCGGGTTTCTTCTTACTTCCAAAACTATCACAAAAATCGATTTTGAGTAGTATTTCGATTATTTAAGGAAGCGCTGACTTAAGTTCACAATATCGAGTCTGAACTATTTTGAAGCGAAATGAAATGAACGAATAACGATTTCTATCAAAAAAACCAAATTTTTCGTTATTTTTTTGGGACTTTTGGACTTACGCAGATATCAAGACACATTTTGATATCACATATTTTTACTTTTTTTTGCTTACACATAGCTCGCATCACTCGAAATTGTAWAACCCACGAATCAATTCTGTAACTTTCTGTTACATGTGTCTTTAAATGGTTAAGTCTAACTAAGCAGTACCCAATTATACTTCTCTCATAGAAACAAACGTTTAATTGGCTTCAGCTGAACTTCCATCTATTGAATCCAAAGGAGATAAAAAATAAACTTTCTTAAATAGAAAACTCGTAATATATKATAGAATTGTTTGTAAAGATCGAAATGCAATTACGCTTGAATATTTTGCTTACTATCAGCCAAACATCAATTGCCAACTGAGAAATATTGTACAAAATACTAATGACGACATTCAATTTATTGATTTTCATCATAATTCATCCTCATACTTTTTTTTTTTGTTTGAGTTTTTAAACATTTAGTTTGTAATCATTTCTGCTGACAATCAAAATGCTTAAATTCTGCGAATATTACACAATATGGTTTCATGTGAAATCTGTGGTTTCAAAGTATAKAATTCAATTGATAATATAAAGCCAACATAATGAGATACTTAGAAAACCATGATTAAATCTGTATACATATCTATAAAAGTCATGTTAGTTACACTAATTATAAGACATGGTATAACAAAACACAACTGTATGTCTAGTCTAAACTCCTAAAATACCCGACCGATTTGAGTAAAATTTGGCAGACTTTGTTCACTTTGATTCAGCTGAAGAGATAGAATCGTTTATATTTCCACGGGTTATCGAAAAKTGTATTAGCTGTACCTTCCGGGCGGATGACGATTGCGCAAAGGAAGCCGCTGCTTTTTGTAAATAAAAGTATCTATGAAAGGGTCATTTGAGTAATTATGATATTATGATGACAAAATATAGTACATATGTAAATAATATATAAATTGTATTACACGTGTCCAGACGTATTTAAAATATTTAATTTCAAATTGTTATAGTTCTAAAAGTTTTGATTTGTCCATTGTACATTTACATATATGTATGTATTTGTCTATAACATGTTCATCAATCAATTAAAGACATCGCGTTAAGGATTTCCAATATACGATATAGATTCCTACCCATTCCCAGTCACTACAGTTTAGATCCGCATCGAATACATTAAATTTTAATCAGATCAAGTTAGTGAGTTGAATATATTTCAAATTATAATAGTTGAATTTCGAATTCACTTTCGAACTTTTACACTATTTACTCGCTCGGTTTCTTCCTCATTGGASATCTTAAACCTTCGAGTATGAATTTATTATTTTTATGTATGTGATCATATATATATGTATATATATCTTCTACAAAAACTTTCTGGCAACGAAATCCTATAAAGTTCATGMGCCTTTTCACTTCACAAATCAAATTGTTTGGAAGAGCTGGGTGCTCTTAGTAAAAAAAAACACCTCAAAATCTACATGAAGAGTCTACATGTATTTTTGTAATATTCAAATTATTGGTTGTATGGGTGATATGTAGCATTGTTGTCCCATTTTCTTTATTAATGMACAGTTTGTAAAATTACCTTTTCTTAGCTTTATTAAATGCAGACAACCGGAAAAAAAAGTAACTGAGTATTCGGAGGTATGGGAGATATGAGGAGTTGTTATCCGATCTGGCTGATCTCAAAAATTTATTAAATTTCATTCATATATCCCAAAACTGACGAAGATGTTTTTATAATCCTGAAAAATTAAACTGAAYTTTAAATATCGCCGGCTCGAAGCCGGGCTTAGACCCATAATATCTTAAGCAAAGTTGTTCAGAATGATCGGTAGATCATTTCCCTCACACGCTATTTAATAGAAAAAATCGACGCATTCTAATGAACACTTGTACACACTTACGTACATTATATGGAAGACACTTAAGCAAAGCATTCGGTCGTGTTAGATAAACAGCTATTATTACACGTCATTTCGAACCGGTTAAGGAGACAGCAACAACACTTCTGCCTTCGGCAACGAATATTTTAGCGAAATTGGAGTATAATTTAATAACTTCGAGTGGTTTGGTTTTTCCATATGATCTCCACGAGGGGTCTATGAATATTCTACTTACTTTTTTTTTGTTTTTAGTTTTTCGGCTGTGGTTTACAACATGTTCGTATTGTCAGTCGTGTTATTCAATATTTTTATATATTTATATACATATAGTGTGGATGCATGAACAATTTTTTTTATTTTATTTTTTTTTTTTGTATACCTTGTAAATAAACAGAATTTTTTTTATGCTGCAATGCACGTATTTTATATTCTTGCATTCACGTTCTTATGAAGTACAATGGTTTCGTCCACCTAACGGTTGTTTGTATCACCTAAAAATAATCGAGATTGATATCGGGCTAAATAAACACAAAAAAGGCAAAAAAATATATGCACATACGTATGTATTCAGGGGATGACTCGACTTAAAAAATTTTATGATAAATATTAATAATCAGAATATCATCTCTAGCAGTTTGTGATCATTAAGTATTATATAGGCAGATGGTAAGCAAATTATTCAGGCGTAATTGCATTTCGATCTTTTCAAACCAATCGCATGTAAATTACAAGTTTTTTATATAACTAATTTTAGTTTTTGTACTCATGAGATACCCTATATAGAAGTTCGACTGAAACCGTTCAAAAATGTTTTTCTAAGAGAGCTTTTATTATTGAAACAGTAATCAAGTATCTAGTCCTAACCTTTTAACAACACATGTAACAATTTCTCCACCTCCGGAGAACTGCCTTTCGAATGAYGTGACCTTTGTTAAGAAAAAAGTTAAAAAGGAATGTTTATGAAAGATTATTTTTAATGATCAAAATATTTATTATAACAAAAACTGGCTTGATAAGTGTGATTTAGAGACTTCTCGATGACAGAAACCTATGAACATAGTGTAAGTCTAAAAGAGGCTATATCGGACGAAAACGATAAAAAAATTCTATAGATTGATTGTGCGTTCGTCTAAATAAACACATGTAAAAGCTGTGTGCTAAGTAGGTTGCGTATAAGTTTGAAATTGACTGAGTTTGAAATTGACTGATTATATATTGATGAGCTTCGCATGACTTACCCCAAAAAAAATCCTCCCAATCTGCGTTTTACGGCACTAAACATATTTAAAAAGGTTCTTCCGCCTTTGTTATTRAATTATACACTTGTCTTGAGCGAGTATTATTAGATAGTGTTGTATGAAGCCTACCACTATCTTTTTGGATATATAATATTTACTCCTTTTGGCTTAAAGTAAACCAACCACTTTTAATTCACAAAAGTCGGAAAATTATTAAATAAATTGTATGAATATGTCAAATATCGAAAGTTACTATCAATGATATTCTTACGATGAACAACTAGAATAATCAGAAAAAATTTAAGGTTTCATGAGTATTTACTTTGTCTGTTTTGTCAAACAGTATAAATAAGTAAGTACGTAAAAATATTTATGTATATAATATATGTGTAATAATTATAAATCAAATTAAATTACATCCTCCATTTCACGAGTACATCTTTTTTAATTACATGTAATTATAAGAAGAATTTTTAGAAACTAAACACAGAAGTACTTGGCAAACATCACGAACAATTAATTAATGAGTGATTGATGATGTGGTATTTTGCAATAAATTGAGCTAATGCTAATACAGTGCAGGAACAAATGTTATTTTTCTTAATATTTGTACATAATGCAAAACCGCGTTCATTTCTTTTGAAAATCTTCCCTTTTTGCTTTTGACATTACGGTAGTTTTCTCATGATCGGTTTATAAAAACCTATGCATCAGTTAAAATATTTTCAACCCTTAAGGGATATAGGATATGCACTACTGGTTTCCTTCTTCGAACATTTATATTTTTTCAAAATGCTCGACAGATTATTTGATACTTTACTTAAATTATGCTGCCATATATCACATATGACAGATATTTTTGAGGAAGGAGTAATTGACTGGTCACAAATCTGGCTCATAATCGTCGTCCATCTATTTGATTTTTTACCTACATATATATGTATATTTAATTTTGAAATTACTTCAACAGAAAAACGTATACATATATGTACTGTAATCAAAAAGTAAGGTAGGGTGGTTACTGTTATTAAGCGGCATTTTCGCCAAAAATTCGACTCATATCGGTCTGCAACCACCATRTTCGCCTTATTTGGCTCCGAGCGATTTCTGGTTATTCAGCAATGCCGTTTTGACATAATACAAGAAATAAAAACTAAATAGAAGGAGGTACCGAAGAAAGACTATTTCAAATGTTTCGAGAATAGAAAAAATTGTTGGCAAAAGAGCGTTTTATTGTTTAAATTAAGAATTAACATTTTAYAAAGAAATTTAGCTTACTTTTTGATCACAGATATATATACTATATATGTACATAGTTACATACATATATACAATTTTGTCTAACATATATCTGACTATAGCCACCAATAAAGGTATATATGTTTCATCTATTGCAAAACGTGCCCAAATTTTTAAGATTTTTAATTAGTGTAAGTTAATCCACATTGAAACAAAAGCTCGTGAAAAATATAAGCGTTTTTTAATTGAATACAGACAAGATGCGATGTCGTCATATTCTAAAATAAACTTCAATATAATTAAGCATTTGGAATTATGAAGCAATCGTTGAACATTCGATTAATATACACCTATTCAAATAACATTAAGAACTCGCACATTCAGATAGATTGCAAATAAAATATATAGTTTATATATACATTTGTATATTTAAACATAAATGTATGTCCATCTAATTTTAATTTTAATTTTAGTATTCCCGTTTTTGTTTGTTTCTTATATAAGCGAAACAAAAAAAAAAAAATAACTATACAAGAGCAATTAGCGAAGTCCTTGTTATTATTCTTATTAATTACCTCTGACTGACTCAATGTCAAGTAGTTTACTCGTAAATTATACTATTATAAGTTAACACGATTTAGTCAGGAGTGTGAACTAATCCCACTGTTGTTATGATTTTAATCGATTGATTCTTCTCCAAAATATGCTCATTTGTGATGGTATATACTAACGATCAGCCGCAATTCCTTGTATGGGAATTTTTTATTGACGCTATATCTTCACGAAATTCGGCATTGATAAATAGTCAAGGAAACGTTACAATATCCGATAAAATAGTTCAGATCGGACCATTATAGCATATATGTACATATGTARCTGTCATTTTGATCGATGAAAACCAAAATCTTCTACTGTAAAAAGTCAGATGCACGCAGTTTGAGTTTTTGCTATACGGTAGCGGATTCAGAATTGATACCCAATACAACCAACGAGGCCCCCCGCCCCCTCCTTTCTTTTTCCGCCGTTGCTATATCTTACAGTTTGTTCTGTCTGCCACTCTCTTACAAGGAAACATCATAACTGAAATATTTCTATACATTCCTTTATAAAACCAATATTTGTATTTATGTTTCAGAAAAATCTCTTTCGATATGTGGAAGGTTCTATTGGTTTGTATTGTCGCAGTTTTCGTAATGAACGCAGACGGAGGTACACAAATTAAATCGCAAAGCCGACCACAAAGTAAACTAAAACCTTCTATTCCACTAGCACGCAATCGCAAGCGATATGCAGGAAGTAGCGCTGGCAGCTATGCTGGAGCAGGCGGTAGCGTCGGAGGCTATGGCGGTGGTTATGATGACTACGATTACGGATATGCACCCGATTTTGGTTTCATAGATCCATATCTTTTCCACCAACAGTTGACTGCCCAAATTCTAGCCAACCATGCCGCACAACATCAGTGAGTAAAAGACTCTTTATTTTTTCATAGTAACCCACTAAAAACATTCATGTGTACATACCATATAAAACTGTTTACAACATATATATGTAAGACTACTTTTGTTGAAATGGTTTCTTGGGCTCTTACTAATATGCTTTGCTAACTAACTCTTACCCATTGAAAGCTCTTTGCTCTATATATTTTCTTAGCGCTATTGCTTCGGTTTATTCTTCTGGCCAAGCTATGGCCACTGCTGATGCATCTCTTTTGCCTGACGACAAGTAAATAATATTGGATAACTATGGAATAAGGGCAGTTTGATTAGTAAATGATGTGAAATTTTGTTAACTTATAWATTAGAATGAAAAGTTGTTAAGCGATAAAGATTTTATACGCTCTACAAATTTTGAAAAAGGATACAATTACAAAGGTAAACAATGAATATTGAATTGATTCAATATTTCGAAGTAGAAGTTTCCTTAAAAGTTCATGAATTGATGGCGCTGGTGTAGATGGAAATTGCTACAGAGAATAACAAACTAAAACCAATTGAGATATATGTATGCTTATATAATTATATATGTGTATMTGTATAGTTAACTATGCCAATGATCAGGAAAATGATTTGATTTGAAATCTGGTGTTATGATGAAACGGCGAATAAATGTTTTATAAAATAAAGAGAAGGTTGATATTGAAAATACTTATACTTACAAAATGTCTTTAATTCAAAACATATAAAGTACCATCACTTAGCTCATTACTTACTACATATATGAAATTGTTCGGTTACTCTTGAACTTAACTTTTAACTTGTTTAATATTAAGGTTCGCAATACCAGAAAGTATTTCCTCAGCTTTTATCCTGATTATGTTGCGAAAGTATAAAGTGTTCCGTTACACCCTTTCCTCAATAAAGSGAACTAAACTATAATAATTGCTATTTTTATAGATTTGGGGAAATATCCATAGAAATTTTTTAGTTTACACAAAAATTAATTAAAATGTCATTGATTAATCAAACTGTCCCCAACAGTTTATGAATTAAAATACTTATAAACCATATATTTAAATTGTAAAGCTTTCCTAACTTTTACTTCATGCTTACATATACTACCTCAGACGTATTCAGCAACAAATTGCTCAACAACAGGCGTACTTCCAAAATGCTAACCGTCCCAGCTACTATGGTGGTGGCAACAGGTACGGTGCATCCAATCGCTACGCACCCAATCATGCTATCGCTGCAGCATCCATAGGACCTGGTGGATCTTATCACACTGCCAATATCAGTCCAGAAAATCCGGTATTTAAAACTTGAACAAGAACAATTCTATAAGCATGTTAAAATGATTGTGATTGTTTCCAGGATGTCCCGAATATAACCAATCGCTTTGGTGGATCATCATCTCCGGGCGGCTACAAAGGTGTTTCAGTTAGCTCCTTTTCGAGTAGCTCCGATATAAATGGTCAGAAGACAAGTCAGCGGGGCGCGCAGACTACAATCAATGACAATGGCAAAATCACCACATATAGAGTGCAATCTTAAATTCTRCGAGATGCTTATATAACAATTTTTATACTAAATATAAAGCAATACACTATAAGTATTTATTATTAATTGCGTGGCTTTGTAAAGAAATATTCGCGATTGTATATTTTTGGGGTACCTTGGCTTCAAATCATTAGGGGTATTCAGACCAGCTTTGTTAATTCGTTAGTCCTTAGTTTTTTACGTGGGTTTTGTTTTTGTAAAATTAACAGATTTTCGTTTTACCGAGTAACGAAGTACCAGACTATCAAGAATGATAGTTTTTTCGTTACTTGGTAACATCACTCAGCTGTTTTGTTTGCGTTGTTGCCTTAAAAGTTAACTTAACTCATTGCAAAAAAATACATTTGCTGTCTACAACATATTAGTTTCTGACAAATTTTCAAAAGTAGATATTTAATATAATTGAATCAGCTGTTTTGAAACAAAATTTACACCCACTACTGATGTACAGCAAAAAGGATGTTCACAGTTAAGTGTTTTAACGAAGTATCAACTAACGAACTACCAGATTAACAAGTTCGGTCTGAATACCCCTAATATTTATGTCAGGCAGTCTTGAAATACATAAGAAAACATACTTTGTGAGAGAAAATTTTTTTTATGATTTTCATGGTACATATTACTATAGTATATTATGTTTAGTGAATGTCAATCGATGGCTTTAAACTTATATTTGACTTATGAAGGAGGCATGTTAAAAAAAAAACAATGTGTGTTTTATGAAAAATGTTTARTTAATGCTATACTACTTTCGGTATGCATTGATGAGTCCTATCTCTAGATATGAATTAGGTATGTGCATCATTTACATCATGGATATATTTGCATACTCACGTAAAAGTTTGTAGAGAGTAATAATTTTGTTTACAGAATTAAGTTAGATATAGGTTTACATGTACCTATATATCTTCTCCTTCT